ACGATAAAAATAAAAAAAATAAAAAAAATAAAAAAATACCTTTTTTCTTCCACTATAGAGAAACCTCGAAATGGGTTATTTTCACTGGTGAAAATATCAACTTTATGAAATGGAGAAATATAGGTATTTTTTTCTAGGGAATATTATTTGCAATATATGCACATGTAAGTTGTTAATGGTTTTATCTCTGTGCCGATGCTCTGCTGATAAAGTGTTATATATTTCTACTTTTGATTTACCGCCTCTGTACCTCACTCGCTCCTGGAGAACGTGCACTATCGCACGATGTCATTGTATACACTTTGCAAGCCTGAGGACATTGATACACCCGCTAAGTGCTCATTGACTCTTTCATCACTCCATGAATTCTACAACTCAATCCATTGTCTGAATGTCTGCTTCCGTCAAGCGTTACTAACAAACATGTTTCAACTATAAGCTACTATATACAACATTTTCTAAGTTACATTTTAGTATGAAAATTCATGTAGATTGTMAAAGATTGTGGCAAAAAATCCTAGTAAGTGCATGGTTATTATCAATCATTTGTTAGGTCAAGTAAAACCCCCTCTTTGTAGTATTATCTCTTTATAATGTAGTGATGAGTAATATTCCATAAGTCATGCAGCCTTTTGAATACAACCAGCCTCCACGTTATAAAATCAATGCAATTTGAGCTGTACAGACCATATAGAATCAAGCCTGTGCATATTACCAAGTAAGCTTGGTCTTTCTATCCGCACTGCAAGTGCTTTGTGAACACGATTTTTAATTAAAGTGATCCGCCTCTTCAGCAAGAAAAAATTCTAGTTGTAACATTTACAAAAAAACATTTGATTCAACTTTTATCAAACGAACGCTTCATAAATACCATAAAAAACTAGCAGGCCAATACAAATTTGATCTGTACAGACTGACCAGTTTCACAATAAACAGTATTGTTGACTAGTGTATGCAGATGAAAATTGTTCACTTAAGTCTTTTAAGAGATCTGTAGAGTGGTTCTTATTAACCCGTGAAACAAAGTGTAATAGTCAAAGTGTAATAAAGTGTATAGCCAAGAAATATAATAGAAAACAAAAGAGACAAAGTGTAATAAAGTGTAATACGCTAAAGTGTATTTCACGGGTTAATGAGAACCACTCTAAGATGCATGATATTATTATTTCACATAATAGTATTTATATTCTTAGTAATCAATATAATATTTATAAGTATTGTAAATTTTTGTAAATATGGGAATTTGGAAACTATAATTAGGCATGAAAAGCCATTTTGTGGATTGCTTAATAAAATAAAATTATTGTATTGTATTGTATTGCAGTGTACTGTAAAACGTGCATAAAACCGACCAAAACGCTGATCTCAGTCAAGCACAAAGTTTAATATGCACTAGAACGTGCAAACATTTTGAGTATGAGGATAAAATCAACATCACAGTGAGGTCCCTTTCTTTTTCTTAAATGAAACATTTACCGCAAACTTTGACCTARCCATGTGGTGGCTCTTCATGCAAAAAAGCTTAAGAAAGCATTATCAATATTTTACGCGTGATGCTAATTTCATTATAAACACATTAGCAGGTTCAAAGTGTTTTGCTAAGGATTTGGAAGTTTTACTTAATCTTTTTATCCTTTTTACGGTGACCTTGACTGAGAAAGACATTTGTACGACGATAGTCTATTGTAACAATATGTCATATCAAGAGAAATTACCATTGAACTTTTTCTATTGTCTTTTGTACGTTTTACAAGTGACCTTGATGAAGACAGTAGTGTGACAGCAGCGTATTGTATCACACGACACCCCTGCTCAGGCACAACTACTATTAAAAGTCATGTCCAAGACGCGTTCATACAGGAAATCTGTACCAGCCAGTGTTTGGATTAGACCTTGCACATGGGTAAAGAGACCGTTTCGCGTTTGTTGTCTTTATTTTTTCGCCTGCGTTTSGCACAGAATGTAATGGTCTGACACTGATGTTCGATCGGTCAATGAAGTGAGAACAATACTTATAATTAAGAATTAAAGATTAAATTTTATAGAAAAAAATACCATCCAAGTTTTCCATGTTTCTTTGCACTTTTTACGAGTGACCTTGGCTTGAACACYGAACGCTGCGCAATGTTTCGCTTGATCCCTTCGGTCCAAAAAGACCCATCGACATCACTAATAAACAGAAAATTAAGCTCTAGAAATTCCTAGTTGAAACAATGGACCATCGGTGGTAGGAATGTTGAGAGACGTTCAGTGTGGAAGCTGCTACTTGTAATGCCAGCCATACCAAGCAATGGTGGGGTAGAAGCAGAGGACTATGGGAAAGGTTTTGATTGCATGTAGGTAATCATTTCTATTATCATTTTTTGTTCCTATCTTTTCTTATGGTGCTTTTTCAAGAATTTAATCTGTTATCATTTTTGACAGCACAATGTGTAGTTGTATCAATAATTTTATCATTTGATTTCTGCTGGCTTTGTAATGGCATCATCGAAATGGATGTTTTTKTAGAGGCCGTTTTACATCAATGTTACTACATTTTACTCTTATCTATTGAACACGTTTTTAGCTTTATCTTTTACAATTTATTTCATTTTGACTACTGTACTTATGAGAGCAATTCTGCAACAGCATGAAGTTCAATCATCCGTTGTAATATCCCGCAACTAAAATGATGTCACAGTAAATAAAAACAAGAATTTTTTCTCTATCGTATCATTTCACGAACTRCGTTCAAACAAAAATGCAATAAAACATTTTCCGTAGTTTCATTGTCTCAGTATTATTCTCAAGGGATCGCCGAGGAATTTAGAACTGACTCAACGCGGAACTGACGGGCGAGTCTATTGATGTATATTGATTCACATTGCATCGCCTGACGGCTCTGGCAGCTCAGTTATCTCCAAGAACTTCTCATCAAGATGCCTTTCAGACGACATTGTAAGCATATATAGTTCTTACAGATGTATTAGACCTGATAAAATCAAATATAGATACCATTGCTTACTACGTATTAAGTGCGTCAAACACCAGTGAAAATGGCGACGTAATGGCGTAGAGCGTATGACGCCAGCCAAAGATATGATCGGACAATAATCCAGGAAGTCCCTAAGATGATATCCCATATCGCTTTCTATTTCCCGCCAAAAGAGGTGAACGCGCGCGACCGTTGTGTCGACACTCAATTTTTTTACATATGATAACTCAGGAAGAAAAGGTTTAGGTACATTTGAACGTTTTATTTTGTTTAATCAATTAACTGATAATACGAATGAATTTGATACTCATTGCTGGTGGATGCTTAAGAAACCCGTTTGATCTTACAGAGAGTGTGTTGGGAGACGTGTTTACTTGGATGAAAAATAACAACAATGAAGAAGATAGGAAATTCCATGCWAGTAAAGTGACCTAAAACACTAGGAGTGTCCTTACCATCATGTTGATTAGAATTAGGATGGATTCATGATTTGTAAACTAGTTGATTTAGGAACTGTGCACATCAAATACCAAATCGACTTTTCAAAGACAAAATTTYACATGTAAAGTAGTTTAACGCTGTACAAAGTCGAAAGGTCTTTATGAAATAACTACTATGTAACGCGCCCATTGATTGTTTGACACGACTTGTCCGTGATTCCATTCTCTGTTCCACATGACTCTTAGGATTGTATATTTTGAGAACACTAGAAAAGGTTTCTCTTTCACTGCGTGATCCAGTCGTGTTTTCCCAACAATCCTGCATGCTTAATTGTAATACAGAATGGAAACAAGGAAATTATCTTCTAATGCTATTGATCAGCTACTGAAGAGTATTTGCAAGCAAAGATATACTCAGCAAGCAACATGTCAAACTTTTAAMGAAGTTTGATCAAAACAAGTTTATACTTTCTCTAACTGACACGTCAGAAATAAAGAATGCTTTTTGAGAACAAAACTAGACAAAGTAATAACCGTAGTCAATAAGATAATTGAATTCATTGTCTCGTCAGTAAATCCTGTGACATTGTCAACGAGGATTATAACAAGCCGTTATATCCAGGCGAATATCATGAATGGAATCATTGGTACTTAAACATTGCACAAAATCCCGAGGATTTTACAAACATAAGATGAGAACTTAAAATTTGAAAAGCTTAAGTCAGCGTAGTGCTGTTGTCAACAAAGCAATCTTGGTGCAAGTTAAGCTACTCTAACGGCTCTAGTAACTACTGACGCAATTAAAAAATCTATTTCATTTTGAAAAAAAAGCTCATCAAAGTGCTCCGCCGGCGGAACCCCACCGTGGATGATAATCCCTGAAATGACTACACTTTTTTTCTGTCATTTTGATAACATAAATGCGCTGTCATATACAAAATGAACATTAACAATTAGCTTCATTGCTTTATAATTATTTGCACAAACAGTCCATACAATGATTAACAAACTCTGAGTGAGAAGCGCTTAACATCCTAATTAGAAAAAGCAATAGAATTGGTGAGCAAGTTAAACAATSAAATCCCAAAGATGCGTCAATTTTATACTTCCCAATAAAAAGCTGAAGACCTATTAAAGTTGTCAATGTTTTGCATTAGTTGCACGCGTCACCTTCAGACCAACTAGACAAGAACAGAAGCYTTGCAAAGGCGTCATACCACAAAAATTTAATTTCCCAGCAAATTGCTGGAAAATTGAACAGGTCAACAGTGCCTCAATTTTCGCAGCAACTTCTTTKGCKAGACAATTAACTTAGAAAATCATSAAGTGTTAATTTTACATTGCTTTCACAAGGTGACAAGGATCAAAATACCTTCCTCAAGATGCCACCCTAGTTTCATAAGCKCTWATGCTGTGACGTCAAAKCAATTTTCTTRGCAGCTTGTCTAGCAACAGWGTTGRCCACGGAGGGCAARTGCGTTGCTTGAGACGAATTGCAYAGTGTAACAACACCTTGATCTGAGCTAGTGATAAACCGATCAATATTGCATGGAATAGGTGCAGGAAGTAATAAAAAGAGCCTGGAGTTGTTTCATAGTAGCAACGTGTTTTACTGGCATATCTACAACAATGCATTTAAGTGTACATTAAACCTTTTTATACATTGACCTAGAGCATACCAACTCTAATATCATTAGTGCATTTGGACTCTTTTTCCATTAATACTATAAAATTATTCGATTGTTATTCATCTAATTTATGTATATTTACAATTTCAAATATTTTGACTAATAATATTAAGTAGAGTCAAATATTTGCTTGTTCATGAAATGATCGTTATTCCATGACTGGGTATTTCTAGTTCTCTAGTATTCGYGTTCTTGATAAAATTTAATGTAAAAATAATTCTATTGGCACTGGACCTGAGCTTGAACTGCTCCCATGTCAAATGCAGTAGTAGGAAAAAATGCTTGTCCATTTAKTGGTGCGCTCAGAGGCGGAGTAGCAGGGCCAGGAGGAAAAGTGAATGTCTGGCCAACGCTGTTGGTAGTAGTTGGTGATGGGACGTATGTTGCTGGTGTTTGATAGTAGAAACCTGGGTCATATAGGGTGTTGACCAAGACCATAGTACCATTACCATAGTCAACGAGACAAGGTTGCTGAAAGGCTGCCAATGACTGAGGAAGAGGTCCTGTAGGAGACTGAGGTGGGATTACTGATAAAGAGCCTTGTGATGGAGCCTGAGTAGGCGAATACAGAGGCGCGGCGTACAAATATTGTGGTGCAGAGCTACAAAACAAAACAAGAAAACACTCGTTCACTTTCTGATACTAAAGGTAAACCCGTTGTAAGCTGGAAGGAAAATGTAGACTAAAAGGAAAGAAGTTGCTGTTCAAAGGGTAMATAGAAAAATATTACGGAAATTAATGGACAATATGAAACAAARGCCAACACCATAAACGACTTTTTGAATGTGTTCAAAGTTCAGGTAGTAGTTGTCAATGATATGTCCCCACGTCACATTCACACTTTATAAACTCTTGACTCTTCTCACGTCTCTACACGATACTTAATTTTGTAAAACAAGCACTTTTGAAAGTTACTATTCAAACTTTTATCAAAGGAATTTTCGCAGAAAAGAACAGGRCTTAATATTGAAAAGATACACCAGTGCTTTTTGACTTATGATTTGCATCAAACAAAGGGAAAATTCTTAGCAGTTCTCTTTTCTTAAGAAGTAAACTGTTGWAAAAGACACAGTAGTGTCTATTGTTGCAATAGTGTTGACTTTTCATTATATTACACATGTTTTTTTAAGTAGATTTCTTAGTCATTTATATTTTAAAATTTTGTAAGATAAGCATAGTTATTACTGCTAGAAGGACATGCCCACTAATCACGACTAAATGTTGATATTCRTAACGCTCAGTTGAATATTGTTGTTTATCGAATCGAAAGTCGATTGTAATCGCAAGTTGTTTACTAAATTTCATGGTACGTTKTCGTTGAATTAGATTCATGCATAGCAGTCCTGCTAAAAAACATAACAGTGTGCCAGTTCGCTGAGGTTTTAATCGGCTTCTAATTTTGATTTATTTTGATTTTAGATAATATAATTCAGTGTTAGAGTCCTTGTGATGATTAGCTATAGATGAATCTCATGGCCATAACCACAAGAAAAACAATATTTTCAAAACACAAAAAGGATTATATATGACAAAAGTGTTTACCASTACTTTAGCACTCAGGACATTTTCAATTCCCTGAATGRCGCACGTTGGAWGGGAACGAATGTTATGTAATAAAATCAAAAAATGYTGAAAATGTACTGAATAATTTGTCACCCGAAATCACTAAAAAACTCACAAAAAATAGAATTTCCAAATGATGTTTTTCGGAGGTTCCGTGTTGTATGGGACCGCTAACAGCTCGAAAGAATYGATTCATTGCTTTGTTTRGTGCACTTGACAACAGAGAAAAGCTTGAAATCATTAACGACCTCGTCATTGTTCTGTGGTCACACTTSGATGGCAGCTTCAAACAKCAATTAAACACTGCCTGGAAAACCTCGTTAAACCATAGAATACAAAGTATTTAAACAAACAACAACAATTTAGTATTAAAACTATGAATGGACTTTGATTCGGCAAGAAAAAAAATCTTCTTTCTATTGGGATACTCTTTTTACTTTTTTTGTGGGAAAACATTGTTAACACAAAAAAAATCTGCATTAGACGCATTCTCAGACTGTATTCTGAAGACCTCAATMGCGTTTGTTATGGCTGAAAGTCATGTCACAGCAAACAACATGACACCTTTTCCTTGAATTCTTCGTCATTCGTTTATTAGGATGACATAACCCTTAGCGACCTAAAAGCATTCCTAGCAACCGACAACTATCCATGCATAAAAAGACGTAAATCGAAGGTCGACCCACAGCGGAGTCTACTGGAGTTTCATTAAACACCATTACATCCYRYGGATTTTTTGTTTTAATCAATAATCAACTAACCTAACTGCACATGCYTGTTGATAGGAGTAGTTTGGGTTGATTGTTAGTTTKCCTTGAGCTAGAGGAAAAGAGAAAGTCGCAATTAATACCAACGTGATATGACAATATTTGTTGATACTAGTGACAAAATGACTGTCAAAGTCACGCCGKGTTTCCGCTGTCTTTGCGATGTGATAATGTAGAGTCATCTATATTGGGCTTACGAGCTATTCACGTAAAAATTGTACGTTACGATTGCGCAAGCTTACTTTTTGCTGGCTTTGGTTTGGCGCCCAAGTATGCTAGATTAACATTCGCTTGTCGTCCTTCTATTATMGGTCGTTTGTTCTTGCACGCATTAGCTGCAGCATCCGATGTTGCCATTGTCACCTAGAATATTTTACGATTAAAAAAACACAATGATTTGACCAACATCAAGAAAAAYCATGTCAAAAATTCACTCAATTTGATATAACTCACAAAGCCATATCCCTTGGACTTTTTWGTGATTCGATCTCTGATCACAACGGCCTCTACGATTTCACCAAATTCTCCAAAGACTTTTTTAAGAGCATCGTCTTCAGACGAGTATGGTATTCCTCCTACGAATAGTTTAGTGTATTTGGTGTCCTTGTCACTCATCATAATTTGTTAGATCTTCTACGTCGATCGGTGAWTCTTTCTCTGTTGTTGTACTCAGCAATTCAAGCTTGAAAGAGTTGCTGTAGAAGCTGAAGTTGTGTTCTTGTCTTGGGGTCGCAGTTGTCTGTGTACGTTCTCTCCAGGGGTCAGGATTTGAGCCTTAGTTTACATGACAGTAATTTGCACGTGGGATGAGTTTTGGGCGAATGATTTCAATACCAAACTGCGTAGCAAAAGTTATCCGGCTTAGGAATCATCCAATAGAGAATCTCGTTTGTGGTTACTGTGAATTCCACAGGGAACAGTCTCTCTCTGAAGAAGAGTTAATTAACAATACTCAATCCTTRCTGACAGCTCTATTATGTGTTAAATCAAACAAAGCTTTTCTGTGGTGAGAAGTAACTGCCGACACGATATAAACAAACTCAATTCACGCAGGTTTGAAACCAAAATGACACACTGCACAATTTCAAGTTTCTTCACAGCAAAATTGACAACAGAAAAACTTCAAAAAACTCTCACCGTTATTACTATAGCCCGTTGTATTGTTACATCTATTTGCCTTTTGAAAGAATAATTAATTTGCGGCGCTGCCTATATAACGAATATATTTTTCTGGGCGTTACAAATCACTCTGAAAGGTCACTATTGATCTATACATGCTTTTAAATTGTGTTTCATATCACAATCACGTGTCACACAAGTCTTGTAAAGGACGAGATTTTCAAGTGAATACTTTAAGATGGTTTTCCGTCTGTTAAAGTGTCCGCTCACTTCTGGGACGGTATAGGCTTGAAGTGCTAATTGAAGCGTTCAACAAAACCTGGGCGATTTGTTTAATGTTGGATCCAATCACTGAGTATTTCATTAAYCAAAAAGATAAAATTAACGGAAAGAGAAARCATTTAGTGGTTTTTAGAGTTTAATCCCGACAAAAGCGCCAAGTCAGTTTCATAATTTTGCGGCTTTTTACCAAGCCTTCAAAGGCATCACGGGTCTTTGTTTGTGGATTGGATTAAGGAGTTGTTGATCTTGCATTGATTAGMAGTAATGGCCCTAATGTTTTAATTATATAAAAGAATTTGTTTCTGTTATAACTAGTCCATCGGGCCTGCTAATTATTAAAAGAAAACTAAGTTAGAGTTTGTCTCCCTTAGATCAACTAGTAGTGTAAGATAAATGGTYAAGTTTGCCTGCTGGTTTCTTGTTTATTTCTTGCGAGTAAATATTGACATAACGCTTTGTTGATTCGACCGTCAATGTATTGTCATATCTCAAGAGTGAAGTCTTTTGTTGAGCTTTTTGAAATTCTTTAAGTATGTATAATTGGTTTGCTAACCCATAGCACTCACGACTAATCATAATCCCTTTCAATAAGAACAACTTAGAAATGTTTGAGATTGTTTTTAATTGTTAAAACCAATTTAATTGCGTTTTCAATAAATTTATTATGAAGACGTAAGACACGGCGTTTCTTTCAAACGATTTCTGCCATGTTTGTTGGTATTAAATATGCCAATATAAAGMTAAAAGTATTACTTTTTAGGATGATAAATTTATCAAGCATTCTGTATGATGGACTAATGATAAGAAAACGGCGAAACCGTTACCCATGCACGTTACATTTGCGATGCTGAATCTAAATTGTGCTTAACACAAAAAAATACGTGGGGAATGATGTGGTTTGGCTCATGTTCGATGGCGACGTTGCAAGCGTTTGATTTACATGAAAACTAAGATTGATTTTTGCAACTGCTACTTTCGCATAACCTTCATTTCTACAATTTTCCCCGGTTCTTATACTAAGAAGCTGAAATTCAGCTTCAATTTCGCTCAGTACGGGCGTTAAAAGATCGACCTAATTAGCTCAATATTCACTAATTTGTCAAAAAGGYTTCAACTTTTAACAAGAAATAAAAAATAATYATCGTTCATGGCATGGTCCATTCACAATGAASMGTGATTAACGTCGAAACCAATAAAACTTCTCAAACAAACTCGCGAGACTCAAAAAGCGAACACTGATTGACTTTGAAAACATTTGGTGAGCGTACGATATTCAGGTAATTGACTGGTTTATTATATACAAGTATGTAGTTTACTTTACATTAAAACCTGTCAATACTCATCAGTAATGTAAGGCGTTTTCTGTATTGAAATCAAGTCTTGTGATGACAGAGAACAAAACCAAAACGCGGCGAAAGCGCAATGGTGCAGACAGACCATATCAAATGACTTCCCTTGGGAGTGGTTTCAAAGTACAAAAGTTCGTACTGCAGTTTGGATTTCTGATGACATGACAAAAACTGCCGGGTCACGTGGAGAGCGCATAATTACTCTAAGGCTCAAGTTCAAAAAGTTTTACTGTTCTCACTCTATAACCACTTATCTATGCATAATCCACTTCAACTCGAAAAGAAAATTAATCTTCTTATATTTTATGGACTCCTAGTTTATGAATGGTACTTATGTCCTGAAGATATAGAGTTTTTCTCATCTTTCAAATGTGACTGAACGAATCCAATGGCGCAGTGATTTGATTATYAACAAAAGAATTGAGCTAAACAATTTCACTTTACAAACATTATGATGTGAAAATTATCAGCCACAGCTTGAAGAATTCCAAGCCCCAAAATGCAAAGAGATTTGCGTTGTACATGTATACTTTTCTCAATGTCTCTTTCAACACTTAACAATCTTGTCATGCTGAAGTCATCCCTCTCAGGAATAAAATCGAAACATAATTTTAATTCCAACAGGGGAAGACAGCATTTTTTGGTTCAACTTTGAAAATTGTTTATATCAACAGTGGTGTTTATATCAGCATGATAATACATTATAAACTTCCCGATGGCTTACAGTATTAATTAAACTTCATTCGTAACATTCCCTTTTTCTTTACAAGGATCAATACAAAGGAAATGACGAACATTGGCTTTACGCGGCATGATTTACAAAGACAACCGACTTACCCTGGCTACTTGTATGGTGGTTACTCAAGCTCTGCTATTTAGACGTTGTGACATTAGACTGTCGAGTAGAGTCAGTAGTCATGGACACGCGTCTACTCACYTATACGTGAAAAAATGCTACGTATTTTGATGAACAATTGATATTTTATTTATCTTCATTTTCCGAGATTAAAGGTCGCATCAACGCTGAGATCTCATGACGGAGTCTATCTTAAACATTTTTTTTTCTTTTAAGGCATAGAAATCTGTCTTGATTTAAGGCGTAGGGTACCTTTCAAGTTAATGTCTTTCACAATTCTGTACGTACAGATGGCAAAGGTTATAATTCAGTTCTGTAAATCGAGGTTCAGTTCACATATACCAGGAACGCGGGAAGTCAAAACACTTTAATCCCGTACAATGAAAACATTTAAACATTTAATTAAGCAAACACATATTATTTCAACCGATAGCGAAGTCATTTCAAACTGCTGAGTTCGATAATCCTTTCAGGTCGACTTAAAGCTTTCCGGCATTTTTTATTGTGCGGAACAGACATCTGTAATCGACCAGTATATCAAGTAATGGACGCTATATACTCTGTTTCCTGATAACACTTTCAATCAAACATGGATCAAATCGAGGCTCAATTTTCAACACTCGGGATTTCATCGCGCGCACCTACTCCTGAAAGTGTGCAGTCAATTAACCCGTGAGACAAAGTGTAATAATCAAAGTAAGCCTGTATGTCGGCCATAGTGATGTTCTCATTAAACTGTGAAATACAATTTAGCGTTCTATTCCACTTAGTTTTGTACGTTTTCTTTGTGTATTTTCGAGTGTAAAGTTATGTACTTATTGACTGAGTGGGAGGGCCGTACGGGAAAATATTTGGCTCGAGGTTATGCCGTACGGACCGAGCGCAGCGAGGTCCGTACAAATGACCGAGAGCCAAATATTTTCCCGTACGGCCCGACCTAACTCAGTCAATAAGTATTTTATCATATGACAGCGTTTTTTAATGTAAATAAATAAATAAAAGCGCGCGGAACTTCAAGCCGGGAAAATACGGGTTTGTACGGACCTGTCGCGAAAAGGCGTACGGACCCCATCACGTGACCATTTTCCAAAGGTTTCAGTGAGAGCGCGCGTAGGACCGATATCGGGTCATATGCCGGATAAACCATTTTATTGCAGTTTGACTCATGGAACTTTGTTTCACGAGTTTTTATGAAAACTAATCGTCGTTTTTTGTTTTTCCTGAAAGTGTCATTTGAAATATAGTACCGATCTCGTTTATAAACCTTAGTAACTGAGGAGGTTGATAAACGAAACCGTTTTTGAAGCTAAAATGTCTACATCTAGTGAGTAAAGGACACTAAAATAAAAACATGTAAAACAACAATAAGAGGCGTTTCTAAGTCCTTTTAGGTCTCAGCAAGCAAATTTCTACATGAGAAAACCATTCTAACGCGTTTTCTAACAGCATCTGCCATAATGTCCGGCCATTTTTATTGGCCGCTCCTTTTGGGAGGGACAGGAAGCCCGGCAAAAGGGGAGGCTGCGAAGAACGCTGCATGTTTATTGGCTTACAAATGGGGGAAGATATCAGCTTGACACATGGCACTGCCAAATGCATTTCGTTTTGTTCAATTAATAAAGAACGAACTAAAAAAAAAAAGAAATAAAAATAAAAAAAAAGAAATACATAAATACATACATAACGCTGGCCCACACATCGTCGAATGACGACAAGCTGGGAGTTTACCATTGAGTGGGTCTCGCAGGAAACCACAAGTATTTATCCAACACTTACGAAAAAATCTGATATCAAACGGGGATTAACTAAAAACTATAATGAAGAAACGGGAAAAGCTTTTAAAGAAAGGTCAGTCTTTGATTTGATTCCAGATTAAACTGCGGTTTTGTAGAAAGAATTGTACGATACATTTCTTAAACGCAGTGGAGTTGACTACATGTCGTCTGTACAACAGCAACATACAGCAGTTTCAAAAACATCATAGTATGTAAGTCCGCAATGCATTGTTGCTTGCTTTTGATATCCCCGTTGTCAAAGTGAGTTTTCGCTCTTTCTGAGTGACTCTAACAGCTGTAGTCTCAAGAATTAACTTCAATTGAAATCAACTAAGTTTAGAATATTGTCATGATGTAACGATGCAAACGTGAAGCTTTAAAATAGCATCGTCAATGCATTGCGGTCTTGTTATGTACTTTATTCTTTCACT